ATGATAGGCCGTTAGACGTTTTGTAAATACGACAGATTTAAAAGTATTTATCCGAGGTAACATAATTACATTTGTAAATCTGCCGATACACATAGAGTATCTTTATCAAATGCAGTGTCGGCATCTTCTCTATATTTATTTCTACTTGCTTTGGCTTTATTAATGTGTTGAGACCAGGAACAACATATGTCACATTCAACGCATAAATTATCCTTATGATGATCTGAATTGTGAAGCTCAAAAGTCTCGCACTTTTCACATTCTTCATGACCAAGTTTAGTGAAATGAATATGCATATCTTTTAATATTTCCCTATATAGATCATATGACATATTTATATTGGGGTGTTTTTGAAGAAAGTCTTATGCATGAATGCTATGTTCACGTCGCTTGGCAAATACCTAACATTTGAGGCGTGCTCCCTTCTGTAATGAGAGATAGTAGGATGAAATGACACGATGTGTTGAGCTACTATTTCTCTATCTATCTTTTTATTAGACGGTTGACGACCACGTTTATCAGGAACAGGTCTGATGGTTCCTTTAATTGTTGTTGCATTTGAAAGTACTGTAAACACAACGCCATCGTTTTTTTTAGCGTAACCCAGCGTTGTAAGAAAAAATATTTTGCACACGTTAATTTTTTTGCCGGTCTCATTGTGTAAAAAATACTTTACTGTCATACTTCGCTGAGAGGAATCGTCTTTTAAAGTTCTTCTTTTAACGTCTTCTTTAGAACACTGCGCCAAGATAAAGGAACGCTGTTGAATCCAGTCGAGCTGCCAATATTCAATATTAATTGTTTTTCTATGCAGATCTGATATGTTTTCATGGCATTTTAGTTTACACTTTGAACTTTTTAATCGAGGTTTGGGAAACCTTTTATAGGCTTCCCCGCTTGGCTCTATAGCGGGGAGTGTGTGGGACTCCCTTCCATCTAGGTAAGGTTTACCCACTAAAACCCTGTCCTCTCTCTAAACACATAGTAGCCCGGCCGGGTATCACCAAAGGCATTCATCGCGCCCGGGGACGGTCCGGTGGCAGTTTTTCGCCACCTAGATCTTAGCTATAGTTTAATATATTACCCCTTCTCGCTTACGCCGCTCTTTGCCTTTCTCGGCCTTCTTGCTCTCTTGTGCTCACAACTTTTGAGATATAACCTTTTATTCTTTGCCACTTGTTCTCTGAATCTACCATTGTGTCGACGATATTTTCTTTTCCGATCTGGTGTCCCAGCCACGTTTCCAATTCGGATCTCTGTCTTCCCCATCTTGGGCATTCTAGAACGGCGTGACCGGCAGTATCTCTTTCTCCACAGTCTACGCACCTATCGTTGTCCCTCTTGCGAAAACGGTACAAATAGACCCCGTTTTCCCCATGTCCAGTTAAGAACTGGGTGAGCTGGTAGTCTACCTCACCGTGCTTTCTTCTCGTCCATTTTTCGATTCTCGGGATTAGTTTACTTGTCCATGACTCGCTTTGACCACCTTTGTTGCCATTCTTCAATTTTTTGTCTTCGGTCCCACCTCTCCGCTCGCGCTTTGATAGCAACCTGCGCCGGAAGAAGTCCCGCCACCACCATTATGTCTTCTGCGCTTACCGTGCGATACGCGCTGCATATTCTTATCGCCAGCAGCCGCGTCACTTGGTCTACCTTTGCTGTGGCGACCCCCCACCTCATGGCAGGGCCCCAAACTTCCGCTCCATATAGTAGCGTCGATAGTGCAGCCGTCGCTAATACCCTTCTTTTGGAGGCCCGCGCTCCTCCAACATTGGACATAATTTTGCTCAACGCGCCGTACACCTTCAAGGCTTTTGTGCTTGCTAATTTGGCCTGCTCGATGAACGATAAGTTTCTGTCAATGGTTACCCCTAATATCTTAATATAAGTGTCCGCCGTAAGTCTTTGTCCCATTAAATCTACAGTATATTCCTGTAACCTCCGCCTTCCGGTCATAAGCGCCACTTTCGTTTTAGCAGGCACCAATTGAAGTTTTCGTGCCCGCATCCACTCGTTGATTTTGTCCACCGTACTGCGCAGTTTAGCTCCCGCGCGTTCTAAACTGCGGTCACGAACCACCACAGTGAGATCGTCCGCGAAACCGACCACAGTCACTCCGCACTCACGCAGCAATCTTAGCGTACCGTCGTACATCGCTATCCATAGCAGTGGCCCCAAAACGGACCCCTGCGGCACACCCGCACTAGCTTTAAAAGTGTACTTCTGTCCCGACGGCTTCTTCACTGTCACGTACCTCCCGGTTAAGTAACTGCTCATGAGATTGATCATGACGTCGTCGACCCCCAGTTCCCTCAGCGCTTCAACTATGGCCTGTCTCGACGCGGAATTGAAAGCATTCTTACATCCAAGGACGCCACAATGCAAACCTCTCGCGTCCTCCACGTACCGCTATTTGCGTCCCGAACTTCTCCAACTATCCTTTCCAACGCGTCTTTCGTAGACCTCCCTTTGCGGAAGCCGTATTGGTCCGGGGACAACCTGTCTTCGATTTGTTTAAGGATCCTTTCCTTGAAAATCTTTTTTAATATCTTCCCGGCGAAATCTATTAGGCATATCGGCCTAAGCGCCCCTGCTGCTTTTGGAATCGTCACCAGGTGGCTCCTTCTCCACTGCTCCGGGTATACTCCGGTTTCAATAGCTCTCGTGCCGATTTGTGTCCAGATCTCCGGTCTTGCCTTCGCCACTGCCTTCACTATTTCCGCCGGAATTCTGTCTGGTCCTGGTGCTTTATTCACTGGGAGCCCTGCTGCCGCTGCCAGCACCTCCTCGCACGTCACCGGCTGGATCTCCATTGACACTTTGAACTTGACTCCATACACTTTGAACTGTCACATCCTTCTTTTTACGAAATGATTTTCTGCTAGTTTCTGCTTCTTTTCTTCTAACCTCACCTGTTTTGAAACTTTCGGCTTTCTCTTTCTTTTACTTCCCTTTTTTGTTACTTCTATACCACAAAAAACAGCATAAAGCGAAAATTTTACAATATGAGTCTACTTACCATCCATGCTTTCTTGTTCTTTTGGGTCGTCGTCTTTTCCGTCTGCATTTTGATTATTCAAATGCCCATCGATCTGCCCTTCAAACGGTACTAGAGTCTCCTCTATTATAACGTTGTCATTAGTTTCTTTCGAGAAAAAGATGTTATAGTACATATTTATGTGCGCAAAAATAGTAATAAACCTACCTTGAATTTCATTATCCATAAATATTATTGGGTCATGGGATTCAAATATTTCATTAATAATATTGGCGTACGCATCGTTTGCACAAGGTTCATTAGAAGTAACTTCTTCATAGGAACTTGTGGCGGCGATTCCTACCGTACTTGCTGTTGTCAACGCCATATCCACAATTTTTCGCGCGCGTTTCATTGCAATTTAGGTTAAATTCTTACAAGTCACAAATGAACTGTGATACTACTAACATTAGTATGCCACTAAAAGCGGAAATTTTCGATTAAGTTTAATCACTATTTTTCATTTATGTAGAATAGGACTATATAGAGCTTCTACTGTTAAATAATCAAAACGCACGTTGCAAGTAAAACTGCAAATTGAGAATGCAGCCTAGCACAGTAAGTGCCCATAATTTAAGATACCTATGAGTAATCTGCATGAATCATAGAAGAAAATGCAGTAACTGACGAATAATAATCAAGAACGCAGTATCTACTTGCACATACTACGTTTTTACTTATTAACTTGTAGATACTTCGTTTCTACAAATTAATTCAAGCAAATTTGCAGATACTGCATTACATTTTATATGAAAATCTTGAAAACTACTGCAGATACTGCATTTTTAACAATTGATTCACACTCAGCGACGTCCGTTTAGTATACAAACATATCAATCTCGGTTTCGAATTTTTTTCAGTTACTGTGTTCTTACTTATCAGGGCAGTATATATACAAAGATTAAGCGCAGTCTTCTGTCGCAAAGATCGAAAAAGAATATGATCTATTTTCTCTCCAATACACGAGATGGGATACCTATCAAGATTTTATACACTTTATTGAAAGAGTGATTGTGAGAACAAAACGGAAGGTAAATAAATGTGAATAGAAAATATAAAGTAACAACGAATTCTGGGATGTTACACGCCTTTACCGTTTGAGCGTGAGAGTTTCTCTTGAGTTTGGTGGGAAAGGGCAAGTTCAGTGACACCCAATTCAGTATAAATGAAAGTATCTGTTGTCAGATTGAAATCAATGAAGAAAAACTCTGTATCACGATCCCTTCACTTCCTTCTACTGAAAAATCACAATTAAAGTTAAATAATTTATTCATAAAAGAAATTGATATAAAGCGGACGTGAATGGCTAATTGTGAAATATCGTATCAGTGGTCGAGGGAATAAATTTAGTAGGTACACCTGGGAAATCTAAAATGAGACAATTTTCTGATACTGACATAAAGAAACGTACAAAAAGCTGCTTCAGCACAAATTGGTTCTAAGGTGTTTACTAAGGCATGAATAATTCGTTTTGGTGGATTTTTTATACATTTTACTTCTTAAGTAGGAACTCTTTTACGCAACTTATACGGCTGCATGCTACTACTTCGTACGCTTGGAAACACGACGGATTCGATACTAGGCCGAACTCGTTCATTTTACTGTATACAATTTATTTGTGGACTGCGAATTCTCGAAGGAGAATTTATATTTAACTGCGAAGTGATATTAGGTTTATTTAAAGTGATGATAACCTCGTCATAAGAATTGCTGTATTGTTTAAAATGATCCGATTAAAAGTTTCAAAGTATAAACACACGGATAACGAATATCGTGCAAAACGTTTGATGTTCCTTAATCATCTCTGAGATTTTCAAAACGTTTCGTAATCCCCAACATTAAATAGAACACGCATTACTGACTTTTGAGCTTAACGCAGTCGAGAAAACATTGTTAACGGTCGTTCAGAAACGACGAATTATTTGTATTAGAGCCAATAAAACTAATTGTTCTATTATTTCAGGATTACAACGATGACATTCGGCAAGAGCAGATGTGGGAGATGCAAGTATTATCTAGTCAACGTAATAACGGCAAAACGGAAGATATACCTGGCGTCAATTCCACTGCAGAGTGCCCTAACGAGGATAGCTTAGGAGGCGAAAGTATGGAAGGTGTACCCGATACAGTGGGGGACGATCATCCTGCCCTTCGGGGTGTTCCCGCCGGTAAGTAAAATATATTGTGCACCTCTTAAAATCGAACGACCCTTCCGTATTCTGCTAAGTGGGTACGAATTCACAGTTATTATTTTCCTTATATAAGGGATTCGGTGTATGTATAATCCTGCATTGACACCTTTTCGCTTACCGAATAGCCGTATCATCGAAAACGTTGAGCTGCAGATGCTTTACTGAAAGTGTATACCCTTCAATGCGGGCGTTTGGTTGCTAATCCAAATTCAATAGGAAAGTAAGCGTTCTGAAGATTGACCCCCAAGTGTTGTCTACGTTAATTATACTCTATTTTAGTCTATGTTAGCGGTAGTAAATACCTACCAATACAAGGTAACATTTGCAATGCAAGTATTGATTGGATAGCCAACAAAAACTTTTATTAGATTTAACCATTAGATTACATTATTAAACCCCAACATTTATTTACGAGAAAAACCTTACCTTATTTATTTTACATGACATACGTCTATAATTATTGTGGTGATCTGTGCGGATTTTTGGTTGTAGTAATTTTTTAAGTTTACTTCAATAATTTTATTTGTCATAACTAGTGTTGTAAAATTTCCGGAAATATTGGAAATATTTCAGGTTACGTAAAGAAAAATACCATTTTATTCAAAAAATGTCTTTACATTAAAAACCACAAGAAATTTACACATTTAATAAAATTTGCCACTAGGAATAGTGAAATTCGTGTCGATAAAATGAGACAAGGGCATGTCTTCGTCACTGTCTTCGGTGGTTACTGTTGTTTCTCGTTCTTGTATATCTGTAAACAAATATTCATCACTTGGTATTCTTTCTTCTTCGATTTCGTCATCTATATTATCGTGATCTTGATAGCCCACTTCCATGTGGTTAGTTTCCATCCATACATCTTCCTCATCCTCATCAACACTATTATTCATTAAATCATCATCATCATCATTAAATACGTAAATGGATCTGCAGTCCACTTCCATTTTTTTTAACAAGTTTTCATTATGTGCCACATAGAGTAACTTAGCCGCTCGTTCATTTGTTAACCTATTTCGTTTTTTTGAGTGAATGTGACTATAAATGCTGAAACTTCGTTCAGTGGCGGCCGAAGAAGCTGGCATCATTAAAATACGCGAAGCTATTTTTGACGAACGAAGTGGATGAACAAAGTCCTTTCCACCAGGAGACGGGGTTGTCGAGGCTGCTCTTCCAAATGAATTCCTTTCCAAATAATTTGCCACTTTTGCTACGGTAAAGAGCAATTTCATTAATGAGATCCTGATCTTTTAAATGAAGTTTATTTTTGCCGATGTGAAGTATATATTCAATGATTTTGGATTAAGCAAATCTGCAGCATAATGTATAGGACGTATAACAAAAGCTTTCCTTTTAGCTATTAATTCCATTATTGTACCCTTTTCTTCTTCGTTAAGTGGGGATGACGGTGAAAGATTTTCTTGGATCACTTTTCTAATATCATTGAAAGCTTTAACAGCAAACTGGATTGTACAATAATCCCCTTCTACGATTTTCAACCATTTACAAATGGGTTGAAAGATGTCAATTAAGTTCGCAACTTGAACCCAGAATGTCTCGTCATCTAAGATCCACTGCTTTACGGATTTGTTAATAATAGGTGCTCCCTCTTGGTAGACAGCTAGTCCTTGTAAGCTGAGCTTTGTGTTATAAAGACTTTTTAAACACAGTAACATTGATGACCAGCGTGTTTTCACAGGTAATTGTATTGCTCTTGCATTTGGCTTTATATTCTTGTGTTCAATTTGCTTCTTCCTTAATAATTCATACAAGCCTTGTTTTTGTCTCATGTGATTTGCGATTTCTGTAACTTTGACCATTACAGATGAAATGCCATTGATTTTAAGTAAATCACTACACAACAAATTAAGTCCGTGAGAAAGACAACCATATGAAATTATATCACACTTTGCGCTTAAAATCTTTCCAGCTGACCGCATGTTTTTCGCATTGTCGGAAACAAAACCAAAAAATTTTTCAGGCCCGTATTTTTCAATTATCTTTCCCATCTCTTCAGCGATATACTCCCCTGTGTGTCGTTTTGTCCTAGTTTCAATAGAAGCCACAAGTACCGGTGATGGTGTAGTGACTATACAATTATTAATGACTCCCTGGTTTCTAATGTTGCTCCACCCGTCGCTCTGCAGTCCCAAAACTTCACTTTGACTTATTTTGGATTCTACCATCTCCCTCACTCGCTCAAATTCAGAATCCAACTTAGTATTCGACAGTTTGTGTCTACTGGGTAACACAAAACTTGGACGAATCATTTTAAATAACTGGATCCATTCTGGATTTTCCACAATTGACAATGGACAGTAACTGGCATATATTGCACGAGCTAGTTGATTTTCAATTTTTTCCTTAAAAAAAAAGAAAATCAAGTTATAGAATTTAAATTATTATTATTAGTATTAAATTTCTTATAAATGAATGATTTAGGACATAAATTACAATACCACCTTTAACGTAAAACTTGCAATTGTTTTGTTTACAGTATTTCATAAGCATGACGTTTTAGTTATTCTATAGTTTTTATTTAACTTTTTATTTAAAAAATCGTTTTTTCAGCGAGTAGGTATGTATAAATAATAAATATATAATAGATACACATTGAAATTAAAAAAAAAGTCCGAATTGTAATACTGCTCTGCTTGTAATGTAGAATGTATGCAAATAAACTAACTAATTTCATTACTACTTACTTGATCTTTTTCGGTAATTCGATCTGCAAATTTGTGGGCTGTTTTTAGTGCTACTTTAAAATCTTACCTTCAATTTGCATATTCTTGTTTTCACCGCTTTTCCAGTTCATGCTACTAAGACGTCAGTAATTTTGGCGTCCTCATTATTAAGGATCCTCAGGGCCTTTATAGTTTTGTATTGTTGTTCGTCCGTCCGTGTGCGCTGTACGTTATAACTCTTTTTAAAAGTGGCTGATCGTATTGAAATTTAGCGTACGGGTACTTTGGACATTAAGAAAGGACGCTATTGATTTTTAGGAAGCTGGCTCAACAAGCACAAAAGTTATAAGACTTCGAGTGAATCGGGGACAGGGAAAACTGTTAGCTCAATGTAATAGAAGTCACATGTCTCATTCCCTAGGTCATGTATCAAGTTCGGACTTCCGCTATGCATGATCTTTAGATGTATAACAATTCACTATAACTCTTCTCTGTTGCCTAACTCAAAAGTTTTAGAGCAAAATGTACCCAAAATTATTCTTTACACACTGTAAAAGCTTTCAAACGCATTACCTTGATGCCGAAAGAGTACATCATATGCAAATTTGATAACCGCATGTTTGATTCAAAGATATTAAATTCTTTTTCTGGGGCCAATGTATTTTGATCAAAAACGTGCCAAAATTCGCGCACCGAGATGGTTGGGAAAAAGACTAAGAGCCCAAGATATGAATTTGATGCATAATATACTATTTTCTCCATGCAAAAATTATATAATTCTATATTAAGGGGGTGTTACCAGTATGATGTGTTGCCTATACCATCATGCGCGTCTTATGGAAAATTTCACTTTGTATTTCGTTTTAGATTTTCTTTAAAAATCGTTTTTAGAGTCAAGTTAACCTCCTTTTCATTTTAAATAAAGGTGTGAATGGATCATTGTATACAAAAAGTCTTGATTGTCATAGACTTATGAAAGATTGTGCTTTGTTTGTTTTGGTGCATTAATATTTTTTAAATTGAAAGTATTTTCAGGCAAAATCTAAAAAATAAAGTATAATGAAGCAAAGATTATATAAATATAATTCAAACTGTAAAACAAAGGGGTAATTGAAAGCATTTTTAAGATTTGGCAAATGAACTAGGAAATTCCACAGATCTGAATAAGAAATTGGACTTTCAAATATGGCGACTAGTGTTGCCAACTAATGAATAAGTGCACGATATTTCGCACAGATGGCGTTTTGGTAAAACGAAACATTTTGAATCCATGCAATTGAGGCAAATTTAATTCAAACCCCAAAATACCCCAATCTAGTATTTTAGCTCGATGGTAAGCAACGAACTTTCTCGGACCGCAAACGGTTCGGGGAAATTTTTACAACGTGTTTAGTCTATCAACATTGCGGTGAAATAACCTCGAAACTTCTCAAAAAACTCACTGAAATCTGTATAAACTATCCGTTCGAATTGACAGCACACTATGAAATGAATAAATAAATTTTTTGGCGGATATATGCCGATCTATGCAGCTGTTAAAACAATTGCTACCGCACCGTCAAACGCGCGATGTTTAAATAGTCGTTAAATTTTCTCCAATTTTCTAATTTTCTGCGCGATTTTCTTAGTTTTTCTTGCCGTAAGAACTTTCTACACAGTATTAGAAAACTAAAAAAAAGATGAATAAAATCGTTAAAGTCGTTCTAAAGTTATTGCGTGACCAGAAGAAACAGGGGTTCATTTTTATATATAGAGATTTCACTCTTGCCCGGTTTCACAAACTATCATTAACGTTAAAAAATGATTAAAAATATTAGGACTTTATTACCTTTGGTTATAAGGTAAGATGTTTACTATTCTAATATTAATCATTGATTATATTTAATTTTGTTTGTGAAACCGGGAATTTAAGTGATTGAAAAAAATACATATATTGCCTGTTTCTTTTAGTCATAACCATTTCATCTGAGCAACATCCAAACAACACGAATATTAAATCCACTTTGAGTTTTATCTAAAAAACGCAGCAGTTTAAAGGTTTGTCTAGACAATTCGGAATTTGTCTACATCTCCTGCTTTGTCGTAACATAACGTCCAATAAAATAAACGATAAATATGCATAAGCACTTTTATTACGCTACGTTGTTTATAAAACAGGATGTATTAACAAACGAATCAATCAATGTAACAATTTAGTATAGTGTATCACCAGAAGACACTATTATCAAATCAACAACAATACGCCGCAACTCTTTAACGAAACGTTTAACATTTACTTTCGTCTATTGTCCGACGCCTGTAGCGTAGTTCCGGAGCACTATCCATGCATTCTCTCAAGGGATCTATCTCACTATACTGGGATTTTCCCTCTTTCGGACTTTCTGTCTTGATAATACATCTAGCTTAAAGTATATGAGGTTCAACTTAGCTCTTACTCGCTTGTTTAAGCCATATTCATAAATTTCGTGCGATTTGATAGAATAGGTTAAGATCCTAATTTAGATGATCTACGTTTACGCTAAATTATTCCCACAGCATTATGTTTAATAAGTGTATTCTATTTTCAGTTTACATTTTGTACTGTCACATGGAATCCATTAAAATTATTAATAGCGATTTCATGTAACGCTTATGTCAGTTATGATTCTAGCAAATTCATTTTGTTGTCTTTATCATCATATTGTTATGATTCGGAATATCGTGAAGTTGCCTATAACTTAAATTAAGTAATTCACAGTCTAAAAATACTTGATTGTTAATTTTGCAGTTAATATCGACGATTTTATGATATCTGCGGCAATTCGTGTGTTCTTTAGAAATATCTTTAATAAACTCCTCTAGCATTAAAAGATTGTCCAATTGATTGATAAATATTGACTTCTTTTTGTTAATAAAAGAATACCCACAAGATTCACAACAGAATAGGCATAAGTCCTTTTCATACCGTTGCATATTTTGTCGTTTTGTTGAAAACATTGCTGCTAAGTGTTGCAAGTTAAAATGTCTTTTCGCAATAGCACTATTAACTTTTTTAATTCAGCCGTAATAAATCCCTTCGATGTCAATTCGGCTATACAAGAGTAAATGGACACATTGTCCGAATTGTCAGTTAATGTTTTTTGAAATTGTAAACTGTCACAATATGAAACAGCTACGCCCTGTAAAATACAATCGAAAGTAGATGTATTTGTTAAAATATACTTTTCGCTACCAATGGTAGTGGGCGTGACTTTATTTGTGTAGTTTCCATTTCTAATTAAAGCTATCTTCATCTTTCTGGATTCCTCTAAAACTAAAATCTCTGTATTTGGTGTAGCATAATAAGATGACCTTATTTTCTTTGTCGATTCTTTTCCAAGGCCTCGCCAGTTTTCAATAATTGTAACGAGGGTTGTCTTTTTTCTGATCGGTTTGGTGACAATCTAAATTAGTACACTCATCTCACAAAATTTACCCTTGAACTTCGGGTCGCAACCTGTTGAGCTCAAGAGGGCGCGTTCTGTCAATCAGTAACAAAAACAAGTAAAAGAGATAGTGAATCGCGCTACACATAAAATACTGCGAAATAGCAATGCCTAACGTTTGACACTGAGGCAATCGTATTAAAAAAACTGTAGTTAATACTCAAAAAGAATCAACAATTCGAATGACTTTGCACCGTCAAAAGCAAAATTTGGTTCGACTACGATTGTCCTAACAATCGGCTATAACGGCATAAAAGTGGCGTGAAATTCAAGAAAAATATTATAAAACGGGGTATAAAAACACGGCTGAAGTTTTTTTATGATAGTTTTTCTTTTAGCAATCGATTTCGAGGATAGTCCCCATCATCAATTTACATAAATGATAAGTTATATGCATATTTACCGTCGTAATGATAATATAACGCATGAAACAGAAGGTGCCCACTAAACAAATCTATATAATATTCACGTAAAAATTATATCAGGACTTTCCTTGTTATATCTCTTTAAAGTAACAATAAAATCACTTTCAGATAAGTATGAACGTCAAATCTGGTGAAAATGTCCGTAACAGTTTACTCAAGTGCTGATATAACCATGACATAAATACAGTGACTTGATTTTTACTATTATGTAACTGTGATATATCATTCATATCATACAATGCAGATATTACGTTGTAGATATAACAGTGATGTAAATATGGTGACCTGATTTTTCTAAAGATATCATTATGATGTAACATTAATATCATCCAATGCAGTTATCATGATGTAGACATAACAGTGATGTAAATATAGTGATCTGATTTTTCTAATGATGTCATTATGATGTAACAATGTGAAATTACTATGCATAAATATACAGGATATTCAGTACATAGAAGACCAGAATAAAATGTCATGTAAAATTACACAATATTTTATTTCGATCTTCAAATTACCAAACATCCTGTGTTGTTATGCTGAAGATGTACTAAAAAAACGGAGATTAAAAATCCATAAAAGCAAAAACAATGTATAGGGATGCACAATATATTCAGGCACTGTAAAAAATACTTCTTAAAAATAATTTGTAATTACAAATAAAATATAATTGCACGTCCAATACTTAACAAATTAAAAATAATAACATTAACTCCTCATACACAAAAATGAATAAACTAAAATATTAACTCCTCAACAATGATGATCACTAAACCAAAATGAAATTCTAATTTCTAATTTAACAATATATTCAATGGAAAGTTTTTATTTACGTTCCTTCTTGTTGGCTCTATTTAACCTCTGATTACTTAACCGGAACCATTCACCGATAGCCTTCTCAACCTCGTAACGAGAAGATCCTTTTGTGACCGCTACTATTTCTAAAAAAAATATTCATTTTGATATACCTTTCTATGTTTGCAAATATATCTTACCTTGAAAAATTTTTATAAATGTATATTCATCAAGTCGCAAGTTGCCTCTTTGGCCAACCAAAGAACAAAGTTTTCCCAACTCATTAGTAAACAGGCAGGTAAGGCAGCGATTGACGAAGTCCTTCACATCTTTGCCCCCTATTCCTCTTAAAAAGTTTGCCTGAAAGAAAAAGATGTTACAACAAAAATAAACTTCCTTCATATTAAACTTACGTAAGTGTCCTTCATATTTTGTTCATTTGTGATCTTATGGTCGAAATCTATGATGTCCTGTTTATGTTTCAATGGTAACTGTGCAAGAAGGTCAAGTTTTTGTTCATTGCACGTGATTATATTGTTGGATGTTTTTAGAGAACTGAATATTTTCATAATCTCTTCCATCATTTTTTCCAATTTCGAAGTTTTTATGTAAACTTCCTCTAAAAATAAAATAATTACCTACTAACAATTCTTGTACTTATTCCAGATTATGAGCTGTACAACAAATTTAACTCACTTAATATGGATTTTTGGCAATCACATTTCTTGCTTGGTTGATCTGAAATAGACATATAAAAATTAACAAGTTAACAATCAACATAGATTACTGACATATATTACGCGATAAATGTGTATATGAATGTAAAATGTTTACAGTGTTTACTTAAGTTGGCGCCATATGGAAAACTTTTTTTATTATAAGTTGTACGAAAAAAAAAGTTATTTTTTATTAAAAGCTCTGCTTGTTTCAATACTCTAAATGCACAATTTATTCATTTAAAAGATATGGTCGACTAATCGATAATTTATCGTTAAGTGGTTAAGTATCTATTTGTCGATAATTTAACGATAACTCACGATATTCGTAATTTAAGATAAATTCACTCCTATATAAGGTATTTAGATGTGTTTGTGTTGTTTTTTTGGACAGCGATAAAAAAAAGGGGGGATGTGCTGAACACATGATTGAACTTACCGATTTCTAAATTATGCAGCAAGGTCTCATCTATCATCTCCTGTGTCAACACAACATTTGAATCATCTATCTCACTGTATGTATCTAAAAATTAAATAAAACATTTAGTGAAATGGTACATATCATTTTTTTTAAATCAAAATTTAACTTTTTCAAGAAATAAAAGTAAATTCGTCAATACCTGCAAATATTTGGATATCGTCCTGGCCAGCATCTAAATTCCTATGTGGAGACCCTTGCGTACTAGATGACGGTTGCTCCTTGTCGCTATTTGTATTGGATGGGAACTCGTCTGGAGGAACTTCCACAACAATAACATCCTCCAGACTCACTACCTTAACCGTAGGAGAAGGGGGGGGTGTAATAGTTCCCTCATCACTGCTGCTTTTGTCAGCGGGTGGCACGTAGCGTTTCGGTAGTTTTTTTCTTAAACCACGTCCTTTTTCTTGGGTTTCGTTGCTTGATGATACATAATCTGGATCTTCTGCCTTCAATCTAGCACTTTTTAGAGTAGCTATAAAACAACCATCTATTTATTACTCTTAAAGACACTTTCCCAATAATAAGAAAACTTAAACAATAAAAAAGAAACAAAAACTGAAATAATTACAACGCTGTTTTATTATTCTTGAAATTTTAATGCTGTTAAGGATGACCATTATGTATGGAATATGGAATACATATATCGGTAAATAATTATTTCCCATAATAAACCGCATTCAGTTGTTTTTATTTCAGGAAACAAATGAATACCGAACAATTGAATTTTTTAAATAACAATGTACTGTTTCATTAGACTTTGATAGTTTTTTTTCTCTTTTCTCTTACGAAAGGGTAACATTCCTATATAAAAAATTCAATTTTGAGAAAAAATGTATACCATATAATAAACGCTTAAGAAACCACTTTGGGATAATCGCACTTAAATCACCAAACAAACATAAAATACGTCATCCAAATGGAATGAGAAGATGGCAAGACACGAACAAGGCATTTATATTAATTAAAATTAAAACTTACAGCAATACTTTTCCACTCGTACGTTATAGAGAATCCAATTTTCCTGGGGCTTATCGCCCCGAGTCATGTAAGGTTTAGCGTTTACTGATTTTGGCCACCAACATTTCTGCCTGTCAGTGGTGAGCCAGGAAACGGGCACTTCTGAATACAACTTCTCCGACTCAAAGTAGATAACAGCATACGGTTTTTCGCTAGTCATTTGTTCTAAAATTCGAAATTCTTCCGAAAGATTATGAAATATCGACACAAACATTTGTATAACAGGCTGTTTCACGCAAACCGTTACCTAAAGGTATTTAAGCTTTCATTGAAAATTTAAATCTGAAAATTTGCATACCAACATAGTTTTTCCTGATCTATCGACTGAAAATATTGTAAAAACCGGAGGAAGAATTATGTCGGTATGCAAATTTTCACATTTACCTCAATGAGAGTCTGAATACTTTTAGGAAACAGCCTGTATACATATTTTGAAATAAGTCAGGGCACAGAAGCAAGCAAAACAAAATTGTAAAAACATAAAGTGGAAAATAGCTACAGGTCAAATTTATAATAGGTAATTATTTTATTATGAAATTTAATTTAAATAAGTAACAACAGATTACTCAGTGATTATCGGGGTGATTATATTAGTGAAGCAGTTTAATAAGAATAAAGTTTTCACCAGATTTGATACGTAAACATTTTGAAATTATGCTTTTCACACTAAATCTGATTATTCCTGAGGTATCATTGCACCGAACTTTAAATATGCCAACCAATTTTGAGTCACATGGGCTAGTAAAAAGGTTTTCTACATGAATATAGTAATTTCCAAAACAAATTATATCATCATTGATAGAAATAATTTTCTTAATTAAAACTAGCTTCCCATCCCTTAATAAACAAACGTTTTCGTTAAAGTGTAAAGAAAGTGTAATGCTAGAAAGTTCCACTTTTACAATTTTGCCATTTCGATAATGTATTATGGGTTTTTTTTCTTGATAATTTTCATAAATTATGTGCTGTTCTTCACTTGTTCTGTTGTATAGTTGTTGCAAAGGCAACCTAGAAATTTTGAGCATTTGCTTTAATTGGTAAAATTTAGATTCAAATTTAAATGAACTAAAAGAATCTAAAGGCCCATGATTTTTAGCATCATTAGTTAAATGAAGTAAATTGTGCACATTAAAACTTACATTTTCCTGACCAAAAAAGAAACTGAATTTTTTTACAAAATAGGTAAGAAGTTCTTTTGCATAATCATACTGTTCTGTTGAATCTGAACATAAAATTCTGATTGCAACAGATAAGGTTAAAAAATAAGAATACAGTTTTTTCGATAAAATATCCTCTAAAATAACAGGACCAATGTATAATAGAAATAATCTAAATTCAGTTGCCTTCCACCTGTCAACACAGTGAAGACTTCTAGGTTTCCTCGAAAAATCAGATGGAACATACCCTTTTGTTGAAAGCAAAGCTTTATCAAATTTTTCTATTTGAGTTTTTGTAAGGCGAATAGCTTTATTTCCCCGAAACCATAAACATAAAATCCTTTTGGTAACACCCAATAAGACTAAATGCATATAGTCCAGGGGAACTTGTTCGATCATATTGATATTAAGTGTTTCCAAAATGGAAGGTCCATGATGATGTTCTGGTTGCTGCTTGAGCCTAAATGACTCATTTGTCCTAAGAGTACTGTTCGAATCTAAGAAAACAACCCTACCCTCAATGTAATCCCCTTCACATACACATTTTGAGCACCCAAAGTACCCACTATGACCTTTTACATTTAGAATAAATGCTCTAGCCGGTGAATCTGCTATAAAACAATTAAGTTGTATATTAAAATGTTTTCCATTCACCTCTATTCCTGTTCTTTCCAAATTTTGAAATTCATTTACAAATGTTGATAAAAACTCGTGAGAGTCAGTGGGTTTACTATGCCCATGAAAACAACCAATAATAAAAGGTGTTGTATATATATTTTCAATGATAATATCTCCCATAATAGGCCAGAACTGACTACCAGATGATTTTGCTAGAGGTAATCCATCTACACATATATTAAGTTTTAAAATGTCACTAAAATCACATGCGTTATATTTTAAAATTATTCTTTTTATGTTGCTTGCAAGACCAAAATGAATATATTGGCCACCTCCAATATCAACGATATTAATTTGGCCTGACCGAGGTGTCTTGAGAAATGTTCTTGCATCGCATGGTAGGTCTGGGTGTCCAAAGTTACGTAGTACTTGAAGAATATCATTGACACAAGAATGGCTTAGGTTATGATTTAAAAAACATTTGCGTAGATCATGTGAAAAAGAGGTTGTTTCCTGATTAGAGGCATGAGCGGGAATCCTAGTCTGGTATAAAGAAAGGGATACATTTTGAGGGGTACCATAATTATTGTTGGCAAAGTTTTCACTTAAAGATATGCCATTAGTTGTGCTGGAGGTGATTGTATTATATGATGCCCCATTTTCTGTAGCCGGGGGAGAAACATCGGTAACAATAATTTGTTCATCGCTCATAGGAATTTGAGATTTTAAGGTATGGCTTGCATTTGATGGTAAAACATAAGGCTTTGCTTTCATAAAATCGGCATTTAAAATCCTTCTTTGCTGACGCTTGGATAAATTAGCAAATTCACGAGGCATTATAACCTAAATATACCTACTTACCAAATACGCACGAGATGGATACCTATAACACTAGCACCTACTTTTACCGCACTTCCAAGTATTTATCTTTAAAAAACACTTTCAAGCAAATTACGCAAGGATAATTATGCTGAAGACGCCACAACACGTGAAAAAACGCGGGCCACGACGATTTAAAACCGCTATTTGACTTGACAGTTGACAGACAATTATGCAGTCCATACCAACATTCAGAAAATGAAATTTGCTGCAGTAGGGGTAACTGTTACATATTAAATGTAGATATTACACAACATTTAAATCATATTTACATAACTTTATAGTGGTCTTTGTGGACCTTCTATTTACGTAAGGAACAAGTAAAATTAATATGTAAATATTACATTACATGTGAAATATAATCTTGATGTGTTAGTAAGGTAAACAAGCTTATATCATTTGTGATAGTAAATAGTACATCAAAATGATATCCATGTCATAGAGATGATATAGCCCTTACATAAAAACCTTGATATGAATATGTAATTATAAAATTTATATAATTATCACATTAAAGTCACACAGTGTGTTTAGTGGGTGGTGGTGAAGACATATATCATGTTCGAATTCCCTAAAATCAGACAAAACCAAAAATCGAAAGATTTGAAAACGAATAAAATAATTGCCAGAAATGTAATCAAATATAATTAAAAGTATAAATTGGACGTGACATGTTTAAAAAAATGTTGTCGGGTAGTATGTCAAATTAACGGGTCACTGATAGGTAGGTGTAACGTAAAAGGTAATCCAAAAGAAATAACGTTGAGAAACAATAAGAAAAATAAGCAAACGGCGAAGAAGTATACTATAGCGTAGACGAATTTCTTAATGATTCTGGCACTCCTCCGAACTAACAATGATAATTTATTATTAAGAACATCGACGTTATCCTATACATGTAGATATATATGTCACAAGGATCAAATATATTATTATTATTATTAAGTTAAAGCCCTAAAAAAATAAACATTCCTCTTAAGAAAAATATTGCATAATAATTTAATATACCTCGTATTGTTCAAATGCAAATACTAATCCGTAAAACAATTCCATGGAGCCACTAAGACATCAAAGAGAAAGAGAGAAATCACTCCAAAGATAATGATAAAGCCAAAACAATCAATCCCTGTTAACAGGTACGACACGAATTGAGTAAGAGCAATGGCGTACCAAAAGAAAAATTTGCATCTAATCAGTTCCAGAGCAGAAACATTACTGAAGAGGAAGAAGTACAACTTAGATGGCGTAAGGAATTAAATAAAACGTAACAATCGAAGAGTAAATGGAATTTAAATAAAACGACGCGACAATTAGGAGTTACCTAAGAGGAATGTATGTCGGAATATCGAACGGTAAGGGAAATAACGTTACACAATAGTACTAGTATATTAGGGCGCAAACAAACAAACTCTCAGTGTATGTGTTTACCTGATTTTTTTTTGTACTATGGCGAATCTTAAAGTCATGGTTAAAGACACAAAGTGACGGTTGTGTTAATTGAAATATGCAACGACAAAAAAATGTTGAACTGTTTCATAAGGAAGGTTATATTCTGGCACAATTTATGTTACATGTTGTATTAGCATTTTTCTCTATTTCCACAGGGCACAATTTCCCTATACCTCGATAAATCAAAGGTTAGCTTGCGTATATATTAATATTAAAGAGACGTTTTAACAAAACGATAAAATGGAAAGGTCGATTATAAATTGGTTCTAGAATTATTTGCGTTACGATTTATCTGTCTTCTATTTATTTTGGGGCGTTCAAGGGTGGTATTATTAATGTCTATTTTGGGAATTTAAATTGTATTTCGCCTATACCTTTCTACTAAACATGACATTTGAATACGTATACGTATTTATGAGATTGCACAAATAACAAATGCTAGCTACTTGTTTAATTTCTAAACAGATTAATGATGTATAGAACCTTAGGGCGTTACGCGCGTGTCTTATTTCACAAGTCTAATAAGTATATACAACACTTAGTACTATTTTTATGTGTTGTTTTATAAGTTTTTGTAACTGTTTTATCATATTTGATTAATATGGATCCCTTCGGAAAATTACTACAAAAAAGGAATTAATTACAAATTATCGTATATGGAAGGAAGATTAATTAGGTACATTCCCTATAATTACCTAAATCGCAATTGTAATTAAATTCTAATTACATACCTTCTAAATTGCCAATTACATTTATAAATTCAAGATGATTACAAACCACAGGTTTTTGATTTTATTTGCTTATAATAAAGGAACTAGACAGGATTGGAGCTCGCGTCGCTCGCTCCTACCAATCACGGCGTTTTGTTATCACACGCCGTTTTTTGTGGTTTTCCGTTTGTAAATTTTTTTTTTTAGCTCGACCGTTGTGAGATTATTTTTTCGGTTGTTTTTAAGTAACGTTGGAATTTTATGAAATGCGAGAAGCAAAGGAAAAGAATTTTTATTCGGCTCAAAAAGCACCAATATATCGATATTTTTTGTTTTAGTCAAACTCGGCGTATGTGTGGGTAAAAATGCTACGCATTTTAAGACTTCGGTAGCGTTAGTTGATTGAGTGGAATTTTCACCTAAAATGGTGTACATTATTTGTGTATCTTCAATTCTCTGGTGCAACTATGTATTGGGTTTTGCATAATTTGTGTTATTCAGTTTAAATTTTATTCCAATTGTAATGTTATAGGTACCAACTGTATAAAAACATGTTAATGTTACAAATTGAATGTAATTGTATGTTACAATTTTATTTAATTGTTACATATATAAGATTTCTAGCACAAACAAGTTATTATTTTCGGTTGAATTGGTTAGTAAGAGAGTAATGTACAAATTTCAAAAATTCTGATAAGATTTTCTAATTCTGTTATAAATTTGATTTTGTCCTGTCGACAAAATGTAGAAATGGTGTCACAGCTATTGAAGGAGTGAAGAAATAACATGTTTTGTAGTATGGAAATTTTGTTTGTGATTATAGATGATGGTCTTTATTTATTGTTAAGTGTGTAGATATGTTTATGATTTAAAATGTTTTGTAATGTTTAAATCTATGAAAAATTGCATGTATTTAAAACCAATTTTATTTAAATGTATTAGGTCAGTTCTTCCGTTAATGTACTTCCTAAAAGAAGACATATAAAAAAAAATAAATTATAGTCAAATGGTAAACTTACTGTTCGTAACAATCGTTGATGGTAGTATTGTTGTAACTTATAAATGTAGGTGCTAAATCCAATGGGTAAATTTTGTTTTCTAAAAACACAATTTTTTCAATAAGGTATTGAAACGTCATAAAATTACCTTCTCTTAAATTCATTATATATGCATTACATTTTTGTAATTTATCCTAATGTTCCTTTTTATTTTGCATTTTGGGTACGGGTGGTACTGTCAATAATATAATTTTTTTTCCACCATCATTTTGTATGAATTGTATTATAGACGAATAACTTTGGCAAATTTCTTTTAATGGAGTATTCTATAATGAAAACATAATTTGGAACAGATAGTTGATTGACATTAAACATAAAATGAAAATATAAATTTTTATTTTCATGTCATGATTTAAATTTATATTGAAGTCAAGTATTTTTTAAATATAGTAAGTTTATCAATTTCATAATATTGAAGCATGCATTATAATAGAACATTCTGATAAATAATATGAATGATATAAGCAAGTAAGTATATCCCGTAGGGTTTAGTGAAACAATTATTGCTATTTTAAAGGACGATTATATTTATTGTGATCAAGAAATCGTTACCGTGGTGGAATAACTGGCTGTCGAGAATAAAAAGGTGGCGTTTCGACGGTACCAGCGTCAACCATCTACTCAAAATCACATTGCGTTTAAAAGGGCGAGGGCCATAAGCAGACGAACCGTCCTAGAAAGTAAGACTCAGAACTGGAGACAGTATACATCTTCTATAACGACGAGTGCTGACACGAAGAGTACCTGGAACAAAATAAATGCAATTAATGGTACATACAAAAATCAAAAGATTAATTCCCTACAATTTAATAATGTAGTTATAGAAGATGAACAAGAAATTGTCAACTTACTGGCTGATAAATTTGCAAATGACAGCAGCTTCGCCAATTACCAACCTGACTTCTATAACACAAAGAATGAAAGAGAAGTTAATTTATCTTATGATACTTACAGCAATTTAGAGTATAATGAAACGTTCACATTTGAGGAACTAGAGTTTGCCATGCAAAATGGGAAAAAAACAGCACCAGGTCCAGATGAGATCTGTAACGAAATGCTGAATAACCTCACACCTGAAACTAAACGGACATTATTAACACTATTTAATGAGCTGCGGGATAAAGGTACTTACCCCAACGAATGGAAAGAGGCTATTGTAATACCAATAAATAAACCTGGGAAAAATCCATTACATCCAATAAGTTATGGATAAGTTATCCGATTAGTTTGACGTACTGCATGGGGAAGCTGTTGGAGAGAATGGTTAATAACAGATTGCAATGGCAGCTAGAAAAAGAAAATGCATTAGTATCTTACCAAGCAGGCTTTAGAAAGTTTCGATCGACCACCGATCATCTGCTTTTTCTTGAAACTGCAATACAGGAGGCTTTTCGATAGCGAGAACATTTAGTAGCCGTATTCTTCGATATAAAGGGAGCGTATGACATGACGTGGAGATACAAAATATTAGAAAAGATGCACCAACTAAACCTCAGAGGAAACTTGGTATCAGACAGACGTTTCCGAGTGAGGATAGGTAACACAGTATCTGAAGCAAAGATGCTTGAAAATGGAGTTCCTCAGGTTTCTACCCTTAGCTGCACTTTATTTGCCCTGGCAATAAATGACATAGCTATAAATGTACCAAATTCTATATCGAAATGTATGTATGTAGACGATATTGCTATTTTCTGTGCTGGAAAGACAATTGGTGAAATAACTAGGAAGCTCCAGCCTGCGATCAACCAAATTCTCGAAAATGGAAAAAATATGGGGATGGTATTTTCTGAGGAAAAAACGCAGTGTGTCCACTTTTGTAGATTAAGAACTCCGCATTATGGTCCTCTCTTATATCTAAATGATAAACCCATCAGATGTTCTGAAAACGCAAAGTTCCTTGGCTTGATGTTCGATCAAACTCTAACATAGCGTGCACACATAGAACACTTGAAACTGAAGTGCCTAAAAAGTCTTAACATAATAAAAGTTTTGGCTCACACTAAATGGGGTGCGGAGCCAAAATATTTACGAATATATACAGAGCACTGATACTATCGCAAATTGATTACGGGTGTATTGCCTATTCATCAACACGCAAATCTTTGCTGGGTAAGTTAAACAAAATTCAAAATGCGACAATAAGGTACTGTATAGGGGCCTTTCCAACAAGTCCCATAGAAAGCCTCTACTGTGAATCGGGTATACCATCACTGGAAACCAGAAGAGAACAGTTAATTTTGAAGTATATGGCAAAAATAAAGGCTTTCACCCAAACAACATGATACTGAATATCAATAGCCATTACTATCGAACAAGACCGACCATTACTAGACCAGCTGGTGTGAGATTTTGGGAAGTAGTTCAAAATATGGCTATTACTTTACCATCCGTATTGCAAATCAGTCCTTATGAGACCATACCGTGGGAGAAGCCTCCTGTAGTTATTAGAACGGATTTAAAGGTAAACGCACCGATTATCGACACCTACGCAATTATCGACACTTAGGACATATTTCCAACGATAATAAGAAATTTATTGCCATTTTTACCCCCCTTTACATTTAATTTGATTAATTAAATTACTAGCGACATCTTTCAATCATCACATCAAGCATTACTGCAGGAATACCACTACAAAAAAATTAAGTTTAGTTGACAGACGTCGATCATAACGTTTTGGCGTAGTTTCGTTGATCTCACTGCTAAGGATCGGGCGAGTTTGTTATTGCTATATATTCGATAATCTGAGTAAGTAGCACGCTGTAAACCATTTCTTAGAAAGTATAGGAATCAATGATATTGATTTCAGTGAACATTTATTCAATCTTGTTGATATTCATGTAATTAATGTGAGTGTCGATAATTGGTTCCTTCAAAATTGGCGATGCGCCAACTATCGACGGTCGGTGTCGATGAATGGGTTTTGTATTAAGTTAACAAATTAACATAATTAGCAGTAATTTGGCAAATTAATTAAATATAGGTGAATAATTTCAATTCTGAAAGGTGCAAGGTGTGTCTCTACCAATTATCGACACCCGTATTTCAGTCTGATAATGGAAATATGAGCGTTGTTAAGAAAATGTCGATATAACGTCCCAGTATATATCGATAACTGATACTATGAAATATTTATAGAAATCTCAATCGTCATAATGGACAAAAAGCCAAGAAGACTCCAATATTCCCATGAAAATATGTTGAAGGCACTTGAGGCCGTGCAAAACGGTATGCCGAAATCCCAAGCTTCAAAGTTGTTCGGGGTTCCTAGAACAACTCTCATCGGAAAAGTACAAGGGAAAGTACCCATTGAAAGGAAAATTGGACCTGATACGATTTTAACTAAAGAGGAAGAGGAACTCCTTGTGAAATGGATTTTCCATATTGCTGCCAATGGTTTCCCAGCAACGAAAACTCAACTTCTGGATAGTGTTCAGATGTTGATGAAGTCTTTAAAAAGGCCCAATCCGTTTACGAATGGAAGACCAGGGAAGCGATGGTACGGTAGTTTCCTGAAAAGGCATCCGGCGTTGGCTGAAAGGGTGTCCCAAAATTTAACAAGTTGTCGAGCTAACCTCACAGAGGAGAAAATCCGTGGTTGGTTTAAAGAAATCGGCGAATATCTGCAAAAAACGAATAATTTTCATATATGTCAAGATCCTACACGTATATACATACAACTGCGATGAATCAGCATTTTTTTAAGCCCTAAGGAAGACCATGTTTTAGTTAAAAAAGGAGAGAAAACTGTCTACAATTTTATTAGCAATGACGAAAAGGAATGCCTAACATCGTTGTTTATGTGTAGTGCTAGTGGATTATTACCACCACCAATGGTAATTTTTAGTTATAAACGTGTACCAAAGCATGTTGCTGATAAGTTTCCTAAAAACTGGGGTATTGGAAGATCTGACAATGGGTGGATGACTGGGGAAACTTTTTCCGAATACATTGCAAACGTATTTCATCCCTGGCTCGTTCACCAAAAGATAGAACTTCCCATTATTCTTTATGTGGATGGACATACTTCCCACATGACCTTGGAATTGAGCGAATTCTGCACAAAAAATAACATTATTTTGATTGCCTTTTACCCAAACTCAACACATATGCTTCAACCATTAGACGTCGGGGTTTTTCGCGAGTTGAAAAGAGAATGGAAGAAATCGATCCACAATTGGAGGATAACCAACAACGGGGTTCGATTAACGCGAGAAAATTTTGCCTCCATCTTACAAGATACTGTGAACCGCGTAGAAAATCTTTCAACAATTGTGCAAAATGCGTTTAGAGCCTGTGGTTTATCGCCGTTTTCACCGGATGCCATAAAGTTCTCTAAATATATTAAGTCAAACATGGACGTAGAAAGCACAACTACACAACCAGATAGTATAAATCTGAAAGAATATGAAACTTTGCTAAAAGTCCTCAAGAGAGAGGTTCCACAGAAGGTGTCAGCATTTCAAGCAAGTGGCGATACCTGGACAGGAGATGTAAAAGATACTGAACTTTTCTATGTTTGGCAATCTATATGTCATCGTTTCAATAACGTTAACATTGGCGATGATGACGCTAACCCACTAAACCTGAAGTCGAACGAGAATGCATCTGGAGGTCTCCCTAAAGATGGCATTGAAAATTCCATTGGAACTCAAGAACCACAACCCACGTTGAAAAATATTGTTATTACTGAAGTCGACGATTTGGAAAATCGCGATGAAGAAAAAGAAGATATCGTTGATATAGAATATCCGTCTTATATTTTTGATCCCGGAGAAGATTTTTCGTTTTGCGAAGAATTATTTGATGAATGTGACGAAAGTAAAGGCACCAACGATGAATCTTTGAAGCTCGCACCAATTGAGGATGTACCTAATGGCAATAATAGTCTGGACGTCCATAATGTACCAGCCAGTCCTGATGTACCTCGTGTAGCTGATGTAATTGATATACCTGACATGGCAAGTATTCATAATATTGAAGCACACCAAGATGAAAATAATAAAGTTAATGGATTAGAGAATGTAACTCCAGAATCCAAAAAACAAGAAAAGCCTTTAACAATCGATGGTTTGATAGTGCCATCGCCTTTCAAAAATTCTTTATTTTGGCCTACACCGAAACCTTCACAATCTAATAGAAAAAGAGGCAATAAGGCAAAAATCCCTTCAGTGGTAGTTGCCAACCAGTGGCAAGATTATCACAGAAAAAAAAGAGAGACAAAAGACCTTGATCTCAAACAAAAAGAAGAAAAGAAAAACCTTCGCGAACAACGTAAACTGGAGAAAGAAGAGAAGTCTTCTCTGCGTAAAAAGTTAACTAATGCCGACGAGGAAGACTGCTCTAAAGATGAAGATTCAGATTCAATTGAAGAACAACCACTTGAAAATAACAATTTTTTATTATACGATTTTGTCATAGTAGACTATAATGGTGAATATTTTCCTGGCAAAATCGTAGAAATTAAAGATGACAGTTACAACAAGCAGGAAGAAGATGAAGAAGGTAATTATAAAATTAGCCACATGGAAAAAAGGGGACGTAATTGGATTTGGCCGACTAGATGTGATGAAGTGTGGTATGATAAAGACGAAATTATAAAGAAAATTCTACCACCAAAACCCAAAAATAAAAGAGGATTATTTGAAGTTAGCGAAATGTGCAATTTTGTCTAAATATTTTGTAAATTGTTTGTAATTAAACGTTAATTTTTAATTTTATTGCGTATTTCTTAAGGCAGTCGATAATTGGTGCATACCTATGTCGGTGTATGGGTCCTGTAATTTTGTCCTGTGTCGATAACTAGCGCGAACGCTACTTTTCAAGAATTTTATTTATTTGTGGATTATAGTACTAGCAATTCGATAAGTGTTAATTCAATTCAATAGAAAATGAATTAAACAGTGTGCCTGCCAATTTTTAAGAAAATTTGAATTTCTCCTGTATGGTATCGGGTAAGTTTTCATATCAACAAACCTAAAGGTGTCGATAATCGGTGCGTTTACCTTACTCCAAAATAATAAAGAAACAACAACAAATGATATATACTTACAAGAGTTTAAAAACATCTGTGATGAATATCCTTTACATAAACATATATATACGGATGGGTTAAAAACTGACAAAGGTGTAGGAAGTGCCATACATATAGACGATGTCCAATATACGTGGAGATTGAACAACAATGCGTCGAGTATTTTTGCAGAACAATATGCGCTATGGCAGGCTATGTTGTATTGTTCAATGGAAAACGCTGCGAAAAATTATCTAATCATTACAGACTGCTTGAACATGTTGAACAACTTACTGCAACTATACTCGAAAGATCCTCTAAATCTGGTATGCCAATCCACCCTGAAATACCTAAATCGGGAAGGAATATCTGTTATATTCGTATGGGTTCCGAGTCATGTTGGAATAGCAGGAAACGAGTTAGCAGATAATGCTGCCAGATCTGTCATCTCAAACGAACACGTTGACGTGGAACAAATAAACGCAGAAGACCTAAAAAACTATTAAAACAATGCACAATTGAGAAATGGCAACAAAAATGGACAACATGTAATACTCACCTAACCAATATTAAACCACGCGTCTCTGGCATGTATGGTCAACAGCATACACCTAGGGAAGATAACGTAAAGGCTCACCGTATACGAATAGGGCACACTAAACTTACGCATCAACATCTGCTTAAAGGTGAAGCTGCTCCTCGCTGTAATCAGTGTCAGGTGGTATTGAGTTATAAAACATATAATACAAGACTGTCCAAAATACCAACTACAACGAATTACATATAAATTAGAAATGACGTACGTGGATAACTTGTGCAACCCCGTGAATATGAAAGGGACACTTGAATTTCTGAAAGATGTCGGTATATACCAAGAAGTGTGACCTGAAAATGTGAGGCAGTAGAAACAGCTGTGTGGTACAAACTGGTGTATAAAGGGGATATGGCTTTAGATGTTAAACCCAATACAAAAAAAAGGTAGGAGAATTTAGAAACACTCATTGTGTCTCGTCAGTCGTCATTTACGTAATTTGTGAAAAAGCAGAGGAAAACCGGTGATCTCGTCGATTAAGCTGGGTAATGATAAAATGTCGAAGAATCACTTTTATTATAAATTCAATATGATTACAAACCACAAGTTTTTGATTTTTTTTGCTTATAATAAAGGAATTAAATTAAATAAACATCTGTATTTTTCCCATATAAAAAATAAGTTACGGTTGTTGGAACGTAACTTTGCGCCTCGATATTTGGCATAAATTACATATTACGAGATATCACATATGTAGGGTAGGTATGATATATTCCAACTGAACTGCCACGTTTCACTTTAAATTTGCATTACAACCAGTTTCTCAATAACTCATCACTAATTGAACTTCGTCGAGCAGTATCAATTAATGACGCAAAAGCAAAGAGCCTTTCCACGGGTGCAAAGAAAGGTAAACGTGTATTGAATCTAATAAA